CAACTGTCTTAGGGTAACCTTTAGCTGATTAAATCTCAGGCAAACTACCTAATTTCTTATTGATACTTTATGAAATGGATTCTTGAGCTTCCGTTCGAAACGTCCCTTGTCTTTTACTAAGAAAGCTGATCATTTATATTGTGGATCTGACCGTTCGACAGTGTTCTAAGTTATTTGGTGGTGAGAACTTTTAGGATCTAATTTATTCTAGGAGGTCGTACTCACAAAATGGTCTTAGTGGCAAATATGAGCCTGAAAATGGGAACTGGTAAATTGGCAGCTCAAGTAGGGCATGCTACACTCGGAGTATATCGGCAGGTAATCATTTCTCCATGTTCCTCGAGTTTTTTTTTCTTTGTTATAACTTAACGCAGTTGTTCAAAATTGCGATTAGCACGATGTTTGAAATTGTGTTAGTGCAATTGTTCAACCCATTCGTGACAATGGCAGCCACCGGTGGCTGACAAAGATCTCACTCGGGAAATGGCATCCACCGGTGGCTGCCGTGTTTCAAATGGAATTTGGAAAGTTTTCTTTCCTGAAAAGAATCTTCATACCCTCATTCATCTACGCCAGCCCTGGGCAGGGGAAATCTCCATCCACTCAAATTTTATTGAAGAAAAATCTCCTGACTCTCCTGCTAATGCGCAATCCCGCGCGGTCGCGAATGGGTTAAAATCGGTAATGGTAGCAGGCCATTACGAGCACGGCTTTTACGGATGTATCTTTTAAGTTCGGGAAGTGAACGAGAAATAGTTATTCTGTGTTTGGCACTACTGCATTATAACAGCCCAGTAGGGTGAAATGGGTCAAAAAACTCAACACTGAGGCTTTTCCCAAGAGTAATGAGGTATGACACGATTATGCTTCCATTGGTCACTGGAGGAATTAGCGTCACGGCTGTTCCCACCAAATCCTATGACAACTGACCTCTAGGGGTTATTTGTAGCCCTGATCTTGAATATGGTATTCATTTTTAGCGCTAGCACTGTTTGTTTTTGTTTGTCGCTGTTTTTCTGCTCATGTGCCCCTACTGACCAGGTTGCGCTTAGGCCTTAAAACCTAGAGAGGGGAGAGGCTCAAGCATGGGTGAGTGGGTGCATGTCAAGATCATAAAATGAGTATCTTACCGACTCTGGAGCTTATTTCATTCCAGGTTTAGGCCTGAGCGCAATCATCAGTCGAAGGGGAAAAGGAGCGGACAGAAACAATTTCTCGCAGTGGGGCACGCAGTGTCACATGTTATCGATTTGTTTTCGTTCTTTTTCCACGCCCTCCACGACGAGAATACGGTCGTCAACCATACGGAGCACTATCGCTTAGAAAGTGGAGCGTGACGATGCGCCGGTTCAGCCGCAGAAAAGAACGGCCTCAACTGAAGCCTTGCTCCCCCAGTGATGGAACGCGGACGATCGTGCGGCGAATTTACGACGCAGCAAGAAGATTGCCCGGAGGGGCGAGCGCTGCGGCGATAATTGCTTGCTTGCGATGGCGTCGGAAATAGGTGCTGTACTGCTCTAGGCTTATCTCGATCAAAGAACGTCGGTACACGTGTGTGGTCGGATTGCACGCTTCAGTGTTCAACAGCACGCCATAGCAACGTGGTTACGGTGGAACCTAAGCAACCATACTGATGAGTCGTTCTTGTGAGGACCGCGGAAATGGCGCTACGTGCTGCTAGTGTCGCCTTAGTCATCGAGCGTAGCATTATCTCTATAAGTGAGTCGGCAGCGAAGTAGGTCTAAACAAAGATTGCATATTGGGGAATTTATTTTGGCAACTCATCGCACCATTTCCGTCCGATTAACGAAAGAAGTGAAGTGTCCTTTGCGTGCATCAGAAGCTCGTTTTAACTACCACTAAAGAAAAGTTACCACCAAAATGTCATTAATTACAGTCCGGTGGGAGTGGGCGCGTTGACCTTTTTATCCTCACTCCCCTGGGCGTTGAAATAGTGCAGTAAGTGGCTCTGAAATGGTTTTCACCAGAATAGGCCGCTTACTTGTTTCCCAATTGCAGTGAAAACATGGCAAATGGATTTTGGTTGCTTTCCGAAGTGTTAAATGCATTATTTGCAAGCGAAAATGAAAAACTCCTCATCGTGGAGGCGAATACGCAAATGCCTTTGCATCAAGCGTATATTTTGCAAAAAAAATGCTGTGTTGAAAAAAATTTGGGTTGATCGAATGCCTCAAATTCGGCCGTTTTAGTTATTTATGTGAACAAGGCCTTAACAGTGCAGCTGCAGGGGAGTGAGAATGAAGCAAGGCGAGCAATCAGTAAATAAAGGGAAGAGCAGAAAGTCGATTTCACTTCCATTTGGAAGTTATGTCGGAATTTGATATTTTTCAGGCGATGAACTCTGAGGCTGGCCGTGAAGCAGTAGAGGCGTGGACACGTCGTATGGGCAGGTGAAGATCGTAGTCCGCGGTAATAGCACGGAGGAATTTCGTATAACTTGCAAAAGTTATACGAGGGGTATGTGTCAAGTGTATCACTACGTTTTCTTCATCTGTTTTCTTGGCAGATCAGTTGGTTGAAATCACCGTTCCCATTTTCAGCATTCTCACAGTAGTGACATGCCATCGGTTAATGTTAAGTAATGGGGTCGTTGATTCAATTACTCTGTGTAGAGGATTCTGCTGAAAAATCTCAAAGTAGAGTACTAGAGTGGCTTTCGTCGCAGTTGATTCTTCAGAATATCGAGGAGTACTGGCTTTTGACGGCATTTTTTTTCATTTTGAGACACAGAAATTCTAACAAGGAGGTTGTCTGTGTTTGATATTTGTCGTGGTGGTTATTGTAATCGTCGCAACTTCGCCCGTAGGTATTGCAAATCGTATATAAGCGTTAGCGTGCCAGAACTCCTTTCGGTCCATTCTGAAGGTGATATAAAGTGATGTGATTGTTTCATCAGTTTTAAAGATGTATGGAGTTTTGTCCCCTTGAAAGAAGACCTTCTGTCCTATTACGTTATGCCGCAAATGATGAAAATGAAGATAGCCGAGTAAAAAAAACGGTCTCACTACTCGCGCTCTCGGTTACCAATTTGGGCTCACTCGGTATGTCAGGTGCTATAAATATTCGTAGCAAGGATGTTGTTGATTGTTTCAAAATTTTTGCTGAACAGTAGTTTTAAGGACGTTGCTTATATTCTTTTCACCGAAGTCTACACAACCATGAATGAGGCCTGCTCTATTTTCAGGGTTGTTCTGTCATTGTGTAACAACGCCGGTTACACGCAGATACCACCTGGATCGCGAACAGTTTTGGGAATATTCGGCACAGTCGAACAGGTGGACGCAGTCACTGGTGGTCTGAAACTTCTATGACGTGATAGTGGTACCTCTTCATTTTCACACGTGCTGGTATGCGGCCGAAAAGCTTCATGTCACAATGACCAGCGATTTCTTGGTTATGTCGAGCCGCTTCTTCGTTCCTCACCTCTTTACGTTTTGTGCCGAACAATGTTAGTTGTTTCGCTAAAGAAACCATAGTTTATGAGTAGTTCGAATTGTCTGATCATCATGTCAGTTTTTAGATTGCATGCGTAATTTTTCCAGTTTCCAGTTTCACAAAATGCTTTTTGAGCAAAATATATCTACAAGGAATTGCATTGCATTGGCTGCATGTTGTTCTGTTTTCTTTTGCAATTTCTTACATAGGTGCACATGTTAAACTTGTTTTTTTATACGTATTCAATAAAAAACGTTCGTTGTTGAGATAAGGGGGCTTGAAGATGGAACAAACCGGAAAGAAGATGTGTATGCCCAGACAAATTGTATATATTTCATTGCTATGCAGCACTGGGTTAATTTTTCCTAAACGGCTCTCTGAATACCAAAAAGGGGTCCCTGGTTCGATTCTTCGTGGTGACAAATTTTGCATTTCGAGTTGACGTTTAAAATTCGCGCAAAATGGAGTTAGCATGAACGATGAACGCCATACTCATAACTAGGGCTGTCAGAAACTTCACCATAGCTTTGATTAAAAAACTGGTTAAAAGCTGTAACTCCCAAGTGGGTGGGGGGGGGCAGTGGGCGTTCTGGTGTCTCAGTTTTTTCACCACTTTTTTTTTAAAAATCATAATCCATTTGTAAGATTATTTGAAGCGTCCTACATGAGTGTATGGTACTAATTATTCATGCTAACTCCATTTTGCGCGAATTTTGGAACGTCAACTCGAAATGCAAAAATTTGTCACCAAGAGGAATCGAACTAGGGACCCCCTTTTCTGGTATTCAGAGGGCCGTTCAGGAAAAATTAAACATGTGTTCTGTGCTCCGAATGGGCTTATAAAGGATAAAGGATAAAGCATTTGCCGTTGATCAATCCCTTTTTGGGATGCGGCACGCATTCTACTTCCATTTGTACATTCGTAGTGGCGTTTGAATGCGATGTGGCCTATACAATGACTTGCGGGGGCCAGCCGATGTTCAAGTCAGTGTTTTTATCCTCCCAGACAAGTCTGGTACCAATTAACCGACCCCGGAGGGATGGAAGGCTTGGTTGGCCCGGGCGACTCACGACCCAGGATTTGATCCCCGGACCGCTCGCGTGGTGAGCGCGCCACTTGTCACTACACCACTTCCGCCCTTAGCCCTTATACATTTGCAAAAAACCGTTTTGAAAGAGCTTGTCACACCTGAAATACCTTCCTGCTTAGCTAATGAAGGCAACGAGCAAACGAGGTGTGGCTAGCCAGTTGTATAGGCGAGCTTGTAGCTGAATTGCCAAGACATCTTGGAAAGATTCAATAGTGTCAAAAGATTTTTACGAAACTACATGTAGCGAGTCTCCGAAATTATGTGCCAGCCTAATATGATAGGTCGCTAAAGGTGGGTGTGTGTAAACGCGAAAACCAATACCTCACACATTTTTGCTGTTATTGCTGGTGACCAAAATTCATCGCATAGAGTGCCGCTGTTCATATGAGTTTTACTGCGTAATAACTTCGTATAGCCCGATACTCTCTGGTATAAAATACCATTTGAATTTAGCCTTACTTGCTGCAGGGGCAGTGTGGTAAGGTTTATTCAGTGTACGTCGTTGGAGCGAATATATATGTATACATGATACATTTCATAATACAATACATGACCATTTCAAAACATAATGCATTTACATCGAGTGACAACGAGTGAATTTGCACGTAATTCTATCTTCTGCACACGATGAGATAGAGACACAAACAATGACTAACGTATATGCAGTAATATCAGCTTTCGGAGAGCTGCGCATGCGAAATGGTACCCTACGACAAACAAAACTGAGCACTATTGAATCACACCTAGTACAAAGTTTTATGGCAATAGTACGCGAAGATACTTTCGCGCTAAAGTGCAAACTTACGTGTGCTAAGACGGCTGGGTGCATGAAGGAATTTGAACTTCTTTGGCCATGTAATTATGAGATTTGGGTCAAATCACCCCAATTCATTTCCAATTCGAGCCAGATCTGTGATATATAATACCTCCCGCAGAGCAATGCATGTAGTCACATGCAATGAACAGCAATTGGCGGATACTTACGCGAGTCACAATACTAGCTCTACACACGTAGAGACATCAACATCATTCTTACTTGTAGTCTATGTACCACCTGGTTGGTAATCAACCTACATGCAAACTACACAAAAGACCATGTTGTAAGTTATCGAGAGCGTTTTCGTCTGCACTTACTGAACTGCTTGACTGCGCTGAAGATCTTTGAAGATTAATACTGCACTTGTACCACTGCATATTTTAAGTCATGCAATACCCCACTGTTGTGTATATTATTGAAGTTTGTCTTCTTTGCTATAAAGCTAGACCATGGTATCGCATGTGAAATGGATAAAGCATAGCTCCGAAAGATCTTTATCCTATGTACCCTTTGCTATTACCCATATCAACTATATAGCCTGAAAGTCTAGGCTGTCGTTGTTGTGACACCTGCAAGTCAATTTGATAAAGCAAAAACCCATAGGGCTATGTGGTTCCCTTCACTTCCCAGTGTTCGCCTGACCTTGTTAGTAAGGTTCAACAGTCCAAAACCGAAATTGTCGCCCAGAAGTTTCCAAGTTTCCGTGCCTTTTGCCATCCAAGGTCCTTGGCCTTTGGGCGGGTGGGAGGGCCAACCGCTCCGAAGACGCAGAAAAACCTGGATGACGAAAGCTCATCCAGCGTCGTCACGAGGGTGGATCTCGTGACTCCGCCCTGGGAACTGTTTCGAAACCCGTGTCTGTTTCGAAACCCATGTCCATCGATAAGTGATGTTTTGAACTATTGTGATACGGTACAGGGATCACATGGTGTACCAAAACACCATGAGATCACGCAGTATTTCGCAATGGCGTGATCTCTGATTCTGTAAGACATGTGATCCCTGTATGGCCAGGATGGAGAGTCATCCAGGCTATTGCGTAAGCCGTGAGCGGTGTGTTTTCTCGTCTTCTGCCCAATTCGTCAGAAATGTCTAGAGATGGAAATATTCCTGTCAATGAAGATGTCGAGCATCCCGCAGATGATCAACACATGGAGGAGCGTGATGTACACGAGGATGTATTCGATGCTGTTATTCGCCTCGATCCTAGGGATCTAAACGCTATTATTCAAGCTGTAAAGGCAGATACACCATCAACGTCTAAATTGCCCTCCACTACTTATTCGTTCAAAAGGGAAGGATTTGGACGTCAGTTTGATTTTAACAATGATGTTATTCAGAAGTTGACGCCACTGCAAAGTATTGAAGGAGTTACTGCGACTGTGTCTGATGTCATTCAAGATCTCACCGTCAGAAATGAGACGCTGAAAATTGCGGATTCCTACCCGCAAGTTTTTAATTTTCTCGATATCAAGAAAAAGTCGGAAGCGCTCAAAACCATGGATTCTAAGCTGGGCGAATTCATGGAAGTCATCAGGAAGGAGCAGGAGAGCAACAGAAAGCGCAAGCCATCAGCACCCTTGCCCTTTCGTGGGAAGGAAACAGCATGGCGCCCTGTTTCCTTCGCTCGCCCGCCAAACAACTTCCAATCCAACTGGAGCAGACAGTACGCAGATCGCCGTCCCTATTCCTACTCGCCCTATTCGTATTCGAGGCGTGACCTATTACCCACGCGTAACCCAAGGGAATTCCGGAACTTCTATAAAGCGGATGAGAACAGAAGGAGATCGCCGTGCAATCTCTGCGGAAGAGAAGGCCACTGGGCCAAAGAATGTCCAGGAAATCAATAGTGAGTTCTTAATTGGTTCGATTCATAATTTTTATGAAGAATGGTTGGCTCTCGAGCCATCGACGTTGGTCTCGACCACGATTTTGCATGGGTACTCGTTGCCCTTCCATTCGGTGCCGTCTAAACCAGTAGACTCAGGCAATAGAAAGTCAGCTCTCATGCATAAAGATTTCGTGAATAGAGAAATTTCAGAGCTCCTCTCGACCGGAGCAATTCGCGAAGTCCCCTGTGATTCGCAACAACAACTGCATATTCATCCGCTTTCGGTGGCAAAAGGTAAAAAGCTCAGATTAGTACTTGATTTGTCTCACCTGAACCAATTTCTACATGTGCCGAAAGTTAAACTGGATGATATGAGTAGCATTCTAAATGTACTTCCCGAAAAAGGCTTCTTGGCCACTTTTGATCTCAAATCGGGATACCACCACGTGCGGATTTCAGAAAGTCATACGGAGTACTTGGGATTCAGATGGGGAGATAGGTTATTCAAGTTCTTATGTCTTCCTTTTGGATTAGCCTCCGCACCTTTCATATTCACCAAGTTACTCCGTAGTTTCATTAAAGTATGGAGAGCACAGGGAAGGGGAGTCGCTATCTATATTGATGATGGTATTATTTTCGAACGATCTATGGAAGCATGTGCAGAAACTGTGTCTATTGTCAGGGCCGATCTTCGTCGTGCAGGATGGTTCTTTGCTGAAGACAAGTGCAAATGGTCTCCCTCCCAAACGTGCAAATGGTTAGGTTTTCATATTGACTTATCATCGATGATCATATCTGTCGCAGCAGATAGGTTGTTAAAAGCGGTGCAAAGACTTGAAACTTTGTATAACTTGAGTAGACCGTCACTATATGACAGATTACGTTGGGCTGGAACAACGTCATCCCTTCATGTCGTTTTGAATAATGAGGATAAACGCAATACTAGAGCAGTCTCTCGGGAGATAGCAGCTGCCCAATCACAAAATTGGGGATTGTCCAAAGGTTGGCACAAAACCAGTGAAGAGGTGATAGAGTTGCGATACTGGATGATAAGGCTGCGAAGTAGTCCCCAATTATCCCTTAAACCTACTGATAAGGGCAACGTATATTCACATATACTAGATGTGGACGCGTCCG